CAGAGGACAGAACACAGTAATAAGCCAGTATTTAGTTTTTAACAAATATCACGTGTGCATGCAAACATATATTGTTTTTCATAGTTTGATTGTTTATCATATGTACAGTATTGTAAAGGTGTTGTCATCACAACCTAGGTGTCCCGACCCAAATGTTCCCAAAAGCAACCATTTTTGATGAGTGTGTGAGTTCAACTTGACATGTTCGCAATAATGTGTAGCATCAAACTAAACTGAAGTACTTTTTATATTGGGTTATGTTGGAGGGTATTTCATGGAGAGTATTTCATGGCTATATTTCTATGGAGGTGCTCATCAGTATTGCATATTATGTGTTCTAGAGATTAAATGTAACACACAATTATTTTCTGGCTGCAATAGCAGTATGTACAGGTGCACAGCACGTTACAAACCTGTACGTAGCGACAAAGATTAAAGATTCAAAGGCTTAATTGTGCACAGTAGCTACAGTGTAGATATGGCAATGAAAAACTTAAGTCCTGAGCTCCTCCAACAACGAAACATATAATATACACTATATAGACAAAAGTATTGGGCCACCTACACATTACACCTACAGGAGCTTCTATTACACCCCATTCCAAATTCTTAGGCCTTAATATGAAGTTGGTCCCCACTTTGCACCTATAACAGCTTCCACTCTTCTGGGAAGGCTTTCTACAAGATTTTGGAGTGCGTCTGTGGGAATTTTTGCCCATTCATCCAGAAGAGCATTTGTGAGGTCAGACACTGATGTTGGACAAGAGGGCCTGGCTAGCAATCTCCATTCTAGTTCATCCCAAAGGTGTTCGATGGGGTTGAGGTCAGGGCTCTGTGCGGGCCAGTCAAGTTCTTCCAAACCAAACTCATCCAACCATGCCTTTATGGACCTTGCTTTGTGCACTGGGGCACAGTCATGCCGGAACAGAAAAGGCCCTTCCCCAAACTGTTTCCACAAAGTTGGAAGCATAGAATTGTCCAAAATGACTTGGTAAGATGAAGCATTAAGAATCCCCTTCACTGGAACTAAGGGGCCTAGGCCAACCCCAGAAAAACTACCCATAGAATTATCCCTCCTCCACCAAACTTTACAGTTGGCACAATGCAGTCAGGCAGGTAACGTTCTCCTGGTATTCGCCAAACCCAGAGTCCAGTGGCGGCGTGCTTTACACCACTCCATCCGACGCTTGGCATTGTGCTTGGTGATGTTAGGCTTGCATGCAGCTGCTCTGCTCTGAAAACCCATGCCATGAAGCTCCCGGCGAACAGTTTTGGTTCTGATATTAATGCCAGAGCTGGTTTGGAACTCTGCAGTTATTGAGTCAGCAGAGCTTTGGCGACTTTTACGCACTATGCGCCTCAGCACTCGGCGACCCCGCTATGTAACTTTACGTGGTCTGCCACTTCGTGGCTGAGTTGCGATGGTTCATAAACGTTTCCACTTTGCAATAATACCACTTACAGTTGATCGTGGAATATCTAGGAGAGAAGACATTTCACAAACTGACTTGTTGCAACGGTGGCATCCTATTACAGTACCACGTTCAAATTCAGTGAGCTCTTTAGAACGACCCATTCTTTCACAAATGTTTGTTAAGGCAGACTGCATGGCTATGTGCTTGATGTTATACACCTGTGGCAAAGGGACTGAATGAAACACCTGAATTCAATGATTAAGAGGAGTGTCCCAATAATTTAATAATAATATAGTGTATGTATACTAAATAATAATATACAAAACAATGCATTTAGCTGTTACCCTATTCTAAAACAGAAGCAGCTGGTTGTATAAAAAGCTATATGAGGAACATGAAGAAGAAACTGGCGGGGAGGGGGAGACAACCTGAGAAACTCAGACACCACTGAGGATCAAAGTTCAGGCAGGAAGTGAGCGTGGGAGAGCCTGTGCCTTATCTGTATACCATACTGTATAAAAAAGGGGTGCAATCAAATGATGTGCTGGTTCTACCAACTGAGAAAGTAGGTAGCACTGGCTTAAAAAAAATGAAAACAAGTAAACATGATTTAGTACAAACCCAAAATACAAGTATGAAGCTGAAAATTAGCATAGAGTTTCACCTTTAATACATTTGGTTTTGGGCCTGTATGACGCACTGGGTTGATGTATTACAAGATGTGGGTAGATCCCAGCATTCTTCTGAAGCACAAGACAGTCAGCAGGTTGGCCTTGTGTTGATTAAAATGCTCGGCTGTAACAGCGTGAACCCAGGACCCAAAAGTTGGTAATTTTTTTGATTTACCAATAGGGAATTTTAAGGGCCAAAAATGTATTTGCTGTTTAATGTGTGATTTTGATTCAATAATGATAATATTAATCTTGTAAAATCTCCTTATTCAAACAGACCACATTTATGCAATCGTGCAAGGAATAACAGGAGAAAATAAACGAACTTTCTCACCATGATACTGATACATGATAGATTTTGTGTCCGTGATAATGTCAGAAGCATGCATGATTCAAAATGCACTTCTCTACTTTAGGCCCTGGCATGATTTGGCATCACAAAACTTTACAGGTGTTGATATCAAAATGAAGTCTGGTTTGAGCAAGTTTGCCGGAAGTATTGCTACTGTACTTTGAAAGTGATACACAAGTCAAACACAGGAACAATGAATGAATATGGCAGAGGAAATCATAGAAAAACTGACACAATAGTGATAGCAAAAAGCACAGATGGAATATAATTAGAAGAATGAACATTATACAGGAAGCACAGTAACAAAGACTACGGTAAGGACAATTGAATATGTGGATCAAAATAAGAAAATTGATGGACTGCTAAGTATGATTTTGATTTAAAGTGTGTTTATCTGTGGTAAATAATATAGACATCAATATTAAAAGGTGGAAAAAAATATAATTTTTTATTTTCTCACTCGCACACATAATGTGCAGGTTTATGTGTTTTTATCACAACACAGTTTATTGGATCTGAATATTGACATTTTCATAAAATGTGACCAAGCAGATATATTTAGAATGTTTCGGCTTAATTTTCAAATTCTTGGAAGCAAATGAAACAAAAAGGAACATACACAAAACCATATAAATCTGTAGAAAATGAGAATGCTCGATTGTTGATCCGTCTGGTCACAGCACAAAAACAGGATCTACTGTACCAAAGAGTTGTTTGAGTTGAAAGAGTTTATGCGTGCAATGCTGTCATGTGGCAGTGGAAACGATAAGTGATGTTAACAGGCATGATGCGTAAAAGCTTTTTTCCCATTTTCTTCTGTGCGTCACTGAGACTTCTGATTGTTTCACAGTAAATGTTTCACTGTGTTACACTTTTAAGATGATGTTTTATTCATTTAGTGGGGCAAAAATACTTAGGTAAGAATCTGAATGTCAGAACAAGGGATGTCACAGAACATGTACTTTGGTACAAAGCTGATGCCTACATTCTAAAAAATTGTGAATTCTCTTTTCTACAGTAGTGAAGGTACTATTGATCAGGGATTAAGCCTAGCAGTGTCCCCTCATCTCTCTGATAAGGCTTCATAGGAAAACACAACAAATCCGTATAGAAGTTGGTCATAAAGAGAACTGGTAATAGCTGACAACAGCCAGCAGGCATCACGTTCCCACTTGGCTTAATCACAGAGCTAACAGATCATGTTTAAAAAGGCTGCATTGAGTAACATTATGATGCTTTAAAGCCCTATTAATTAAATTAAAAAGTATTGGGTGAAGGTAAAGTGTGGCATTATCATGATGTGTTCAAATGAAATCTTGTAAAAAGGTTTTATGCGAGAAACTAGAAAAATACAATTGTTTCGAAGGAGTTGTTTTAACATAAACAAATATATTTGAGAGCACATTATGACCTGTGATATTTGAGAGAACTGTAATTTCCATGGTATTGGTAGTAGCTACTGGATTTCTTGTATCGCCACATCCCTAGTCAGGATAAGTACATGTTTCATCCGCATTAACAGATTCATCCATCCATATTCTACAGCCGCTTATCCAGATTATGGTTTAAACAGTTTACATGACAAATGCTCATATTAAAATCTCAAATTAAACCAGCAGTGTGAAACCAAAGGCCTTTATAACTATTAGTTGATTGTAACACATTTAGAAAAAGGGTAAACAAAAGTTAACAGATATAATATCAATACATTTATATAATTACTTTAAAACATGTGTATGTGCTTAGACATTTTTAGAGAGCATTTTGTAAAAATATAAAAAGTTTTTTTTTTCAAGTACACAATACAAATTCACTGGCTTCCAAAAATCTTTCATAAGGATTCTCTAGCATTGCTCTGCTAAACATACACATCTAGATTATTGACTGTTATGAAATAATTGAGGATTAATGTTACTTTGACAACTAAAACAGACACAAATCTTTGATCCTTCTTGTTTATGAAATTCACTTTTTATGTGGACTAAAGCACATTCCTGCTTCATGTCCTTCAATAAATGTACACTTCTCTGAATGTCCCCCACTTTTTCACAGTGTAAAATGAAGGATGGTTCAGACATGTTCCTCATGTTTAGTAATACATCTAATTCAACTTTATTCAACTGCTCAATCTAGACAAAGGCTTTACAATAATCTGATAAGGCTTGCATGTGAGCGGTGGTTGTTCAAAGACACCTAGTGTTCTGTGACCTCAAATCAGAGCATGGGACTTCAAGGTATTTGAACTCATCACAGGATCAGTCAAATGCTGTTTCATGGCATTTAATGAAAGGGGATTTGAAATTGATTTGTGTGGTGATTAGATACCTTGTCAGTGTGAAAGTTGAAGCTTACTCAAGAGCTTAAATCAGCAATTATGCACATGTAATCATTTCCTGCATGGGTGTCTTGAGGCTTCAGTGATGCAGTAGCCTGAGGGCCCCAAAGTAGGATATAAGAACCAGGGGACGGCCTTTCTGAGAGCACCAAGCTAGCAGTCTACTACTGGGCCTGTTTCATTCTACCCTGCAGTATCTTTCACTGAAAGTAGACCTAAGAGCCAGAATGGAGTACCAACATGACGTAGAGATCAACGGAGAAGACAAGTACATCTGCAAACATAATGGTTTGTGCAAGAAAGAGAAGGACTCCAAAGATGATACAGATTCAAACAAGCTTTCTCATATTGAGAAGGCTTATACCACCATACTGGGTGAGCTGGGAGAGGACGTCGACCGGGAGGGACTTCTACGTACACCCCTACGTGCAGCCAAAGCCATGCAGTTCTTCACCAAAGGCTACAAAGAAACCACTCAAGGTTAGGATGGATGTCCCTCTTTGTCTTGTTTAAAACACACTTTCATTAGTGCTTACTAAATCTCAATACTTTCATGTGTTAAGATTCTCCATATGAGTTTTGAAAAGAATAACAAGAATATTAGGATATGACTACCCAATGTACAAGGCTTCCTGTCCAGGTCTTATTTCGGAAACATTCTAAGCTCATGAATGATCTTTTTGGTGCCTAATGCTAGTTCCTTACCAATTATCACTTTTAAATGTATCCTTTGCTCCAATGTGAATACAGAATATAAAGCAAACATGTAATCCACAGATATCATGAATGACGCAATCTTTGATGAAAACCACGATGAGATGGTGATTGTCAAGGACATCGACCTGTTTTCTCTCTGTGAACATCACCTGGTGCCCTTCTTTGGCAAGGTAACTATTTGGGGTCTTGAAATTATGTATTGATAAGTAAATAAAAACAGATATGTATAATTGATAATAATGTACTGGCTTATATTAATCTCTTGCATTAAAACACATACAGATCACTTATGCAGGACTTTCTTTTTTAAATGTCAGGGATTTTCTGGTAAACAAACATGTGATATAAGCTTGAATTCTTGAATGATATAGGTTAATGTTTATTAACTATTTGCAGATGCTCATGTTCTGTTATGATATTGTATTTTATGAAACTCTATCTCTTTTTATGTTTGTTTATTTTAATTCTCCAGGCTCACATAGCATACCTCCCAAATAAGAAAGTGGTTGGCCTAAGCAAGCTTGCTAGGTAGGTGATCAAAAAACAAACACACACACACCAGGGTTCCCACAACTTCTTAAACATAAAATACATATTTTCAATGACTTTCCAGGGGACATTTCCTCAAACTCAAAGCCCCAAGATGGCATACTTTGAGACAAGGATTTTAAGGAAGTAATTTACTGTAACAAAAGTTTAACAACTTCATAGGCCTATCAAACCTAGGGATTTCATGACCTGAGGGAACCATGACACACACACACACACACACACACACACACACACACACACACACACACACACACACACACACACACACACACACACACACACACACACACACACACACACACACACACACACAAACCACCATCCATTAAATTATATTATTTTTTTTCAGAATTGTTGAAATATACAGCAGGAGGCTTCAAGGTAAAAATAACTGCTATTATACTTTATGCACAAACATGTATTTGTTATCTTATTCAACGGTTATTTTTTCTGGTTTGGTTTATGTGTGACAGTGTTCATTTTCTCCACAGTTCAGGAGCGTCTCACCAAACAGATTGCTTCAGCCATCTCTGAGGCGCTGGAGCCGGCTGGAGTAGCAGTGGTGATTGAGGCTGCGTGAGTATTTACCTTTTGTTTCATCCCTATTAGTTTCTTATCAGATCTTAATCTCATCTGGATGTACTTTAAGGTATATAACAAGATCATGAAACTATGATGATAGTTTTGCATCATTAGATATGTATTTATCATATCTAATGGATTCTGTGCAAATCATCACAGTAATTTCAACTTTCTTCTTTTTGCATTTCAGCCACATGTGCATGGTGATGAGAGGTGTGCAGAAGATAAACGCCAGCACTGTTACAAGTGTCATGCTGGGAACATTTCAGGATAATCCCATCACCAGGAACGAGTTCCTTGACCTCACTATCAGGAAGTGAAAATGTTTTTCATCAGCAGGCAATTTAACAGACGACTGATTAAATGAACATGTACTGTCTCTCATGGCGGCGGTGACCCCTCAAGCTTTTTTCGTAGTATTTATGTATTTATCTAATTTGACCGTTACCCGAGAAGGGCCGCTGGAACCATGATTTTCAGCTGACTTTTAATTGTCATTCAAATACTTTATTTGTCTATTTCTGTTCGTTTTATGCCACACAGGTGCCGTTGTTTTTTGTTTATTAGACTTAAAGCAATGTTGTTAATTTCGATGGCTGCTTTTTAGAGCAAAGGAGAGTCAATTGATCAATACCTTTCTGAGATAATGTTTTACTATAGCTTTGTTGCAAAAAACAACTTTCTGTAATATTTATTTATGTTAATGTATTTCTTTCCAACGTAAATGTACACTTAAAATAAACATGAAGCAATTCTCACTTATGTCTTTGCTTGTCCTTTTTCTTTATGTACAACGTCTAAGCTATTCTAGGTGGCATTTTATGCCATTAATGCTGTTGTACAATGATAGCAGTGGTAATAAAATGCAGTTTACTGTGTGATCCAACAATATTTTATTTTTTACAATAGGTCATAGTTTAAATAAGTGTTGATTAAATGTAACATTTAATTGTTTCAATTAAGTGCACAGTACGACTTGTAGCATTAAACTGTGGTAGTCAATGTAACATCATGGCAGTGTTAAAGACACATGTGTATAATGTATTTGAGTAGAATTGGGGAAAAACAATATTCCTAAGCTATTTACATCTAATTATCCTGTCATTAACCTTGATGTCATCATCACCATTGTATTGGGAGCATTTACTTACCAGCTGTTGAAGCACCGCATAGTAAACTAAATCAGCAACTACCGGAGACATTATCTGTTAAATGTAAATGTGAAGTGCATTCTCTTTTAAAGTAAAAACATTACTCATTATTTAATACAATCCTAAAGATGGTTTTGCTGCAAATTTTCTTCAAAAATGCTAAATAATCAGAAAATATTAGAAATAAGGATGGAGCTATTCTCAAGGGGTCTTTCTCAAATGCTTTGGTGATTACACTGTTTTCCTAAACATCTGAACAGAACGAAAAAAGCTGATTAGATATTTTTAAGTATATAACAAATGCAGGCTATACTGTAGGTAAAATAGGATGCATAACCAAAGCAATAGGCAGCATGCTTTAAAAATAAATGTATTTTTGTTTCTGCTCAGCAGTGACTATATGTTTAATTTCTAATGCATGGACCTTGGAAATTTCATGACAACGTTAGAAAAATATCATGATTTCAACATGATTACAAAATATATTTTACAAACTATATATGTTTGACAAATTGTCTACAGAACCAAAATGCCACTGTAATCCTAACGTGTATCTATGCATTTCATAAATATCAGACATCAACAGAGGATGAATCTGTGTTTCCTCTCTGTCGGCTTGTAACTGTACAGACTGGGATATCATGGAGGGACTCGGGGTGGTCGGGGGCTGTGTCTGCTGTTTTGTCTACAGTGCCGTAACATTTTTTTTTAACCGTTTACTTCCACACCACTTCTTTCATTATGCTGATCTGTGAAGTGGAACGTAACGCTGGCTGAGTTGAGAGGTCAGGGGCTCCTGCTGCCTAGATACATACAGTCTAATATTAGAACATTTCCTTGATTTGTTAGCAGCATCTCTGCTGACTCCTGAGCACATGGCAACAGGCCGGCCAATAGGATTTCAGGAGACCACTAAGCCCCTCGCTCTGTATAGCAACAGTGGCATCCTTCCTTTATTTATTTATATAGGAGTTTTTTTTCCCACTGACTCATTCTCATGCTTGTGTCCCCCCACTGTGCATCCACAGTGCTCTCAAACTGTGAAAAAGAGTTACGTTGCGAGGAGAACGAGGAGTAGAGCTGCTTTTCCTTTTGCCTTTGCTTTACCTGCACAAGGTCTTAAACCTACATGTTTTTTCTAGATTTTTTCATAGTTACATAGGTCTTTTTGTACTGCACCCCTAGTGCAGTATAGTTTTTGGATTCTTCGCAATGCATGTAAAAGTAAAAACTAAGTAGGAAGTGTCTTGGAAAAGGCTTGATTTGCATGAAGACATGAAATGTATCAGTGAAGAGAAGAGGATTTACCCAGAGGAATGGCATCGTGGGAAAATGTGGCACTCAGAGGGGACAGACAACATCCAAGTGGAGAGGATCTTTAAAAGATGGAGGACACAGGAGGAGAGACAGCACGGGATGGGAGGAGTGGGGGGGTGGAGGGACATTGGATGGCGTGAGGACCGAGGCCGGTGGTTGGTTTGATCTGAGCCACGTGTGCGTCCATCCTCTTCTCTTCGCCGCTTCATGGATGTGATGAAACGTTGGCTTCCTCTGCCGCCCGGTCCCTTCTGTCTTGGCCCAGGTAGGTGCGAACTGTTCGTCCTGCTGAGTTTCCTCATGATATTTAATTTTGTCGGGTCGTTTAGATGTTATCTACACCAGAAGTTGCCATTTTGAAAGTTCCGTGCATGTTCAGCCTTTGCATCTCTTCGTCATTTGAAGCTTAGGTATGGGACGATGGAAAGCTTGAAGGCGTTGGGGGAATATGGCGTACATCAGTTGTCCCGTTTTTGGGAAACAACACTAATCGATAACAGACTACGACCGAATATTGCTTCAAAACAAAAACATGTTCAGAGGACGGTCATCATCAAAAATAAATACGTTCGTAATTTTCTGTTGGATGGTGGATCAACGATTTGAAATAGCTTGACACTCGCTGCGTTAAAATCCAAAATACAACAATTTCTATGTCTCCAACTTTGCTTCTCACCAACGCTTTTCGTTATAGATCGGCCAATCCAATGATGAGGCATAAGCAGAGGAAACTTAATTTACTTTGTTTTGTTTATGTAATTATTCAAAAACAACCGTTTGGGACAGCACATTTTTCTTACAAACATGAATTAGTAACGTTGATCAGTTGGGTTTTTGCTTATATTGATCTTACAGCAAGTTTATTAATTATTTATTTAAGAAAATTGTTTTAATGTATGGTTTATTTTTACACAACATGAAAAAAAACGTAAGTGAAATAGATTGCACGAGTTTGTTGAAATCATGCTTAGTATCTTCCATCGTCTAAACAGGAAATGGACTAAATGTCCAGTGAACATTGAGCCGTGAAGACTTCATGGCTGCGTACCAATGAAAGTATTTTAACGCCGACGCCATTTTCAACACTTGGACTGTTAATCTTCAATTTTGCATCACTCAGTAATTTTGTATTTCAATTTTAAATTTCACCTGTACTTCTTTTATAGAAACAGACATATAAATGTATCCTTCAATTAACAGTACAAATACAGATAAAATACATTTGAGTTGTTACATAACCAGTATTCCTAAAGCTTTTTTGATGCCTCTGAATCCTAAAATCAGTGTTAAGAAGCAATAATTGTCCATATTTAGTACATTAAGTAAATTAAGTTACTGTTTATTTCAGTTGCAGTGCACAGCAACTATGACATGTTTTTCTGTTAACATTGTATATTTGTGATGGGATCAGATCAAGCATGTTTCCAAAATTATCCCAAATTAAAATCAGATTTAGATTTTTGATTTGAAAATAAAGTTAAGATAATTTTCCTCATGTAGGGCGGATACTCCCATATTACGTCTCTTCAATCGGTTGTCACATTGTAAAGGGTATAGGAGGATAATAAACCGCTGACTAATCCCAGATGCTTGCGAGAGGAAGAGGATTTAGCCTGAATTATTTACCATGCAACGGGTTTCATGATATAACAAAAAAAATGTCTACTCAGATTTCCCAAAAATGCTTAATCCTATGAAAATCCCAAAGGGCAATATTCTATCTATGTCATACATTACATGCAGAGACATTATCTTTTTTTAAATTTCAAGGACGTCACTAAATAAATAAATGCTATGTTAGGGGGAAAGATACAATTCAGGGAAATCCTTGTGAGAGAGTACATTTTATTATGTATTTTTGTATTTGTATATTTGATACTGGGACAAATAGGGTCCAGTGCTGAAGCAACATCATTTTCATTGTAATAAATATGTTTCAAGTTATTATGCAAGAGCAGATTTTGTCTGTTGCGCACATACTGTATGTAATTGCTAATTCATGTATTACATTTTTTGTAATACTCTTACACATATTTTTTTGACTGAAAAATGACCGCAATGTTTTCGTATTTCATTTAGGATAGGGAATTTTGTAAAAGTTGTACAAAAAAGTAAAAAGAAGACATTTTCCATCACTACTACTGTGGATTATGGTTGATACAACCCGTCCCTGCATACTGCTTGGTCTGCACCCAATCTGCTCCTCTTCATCACACTGATCATTAACAGGGGGTGAAATTACCTGCCAGGAATGTCTGTTAAATGTTCTACTCAATTATATACTTTAACTTAATGTTGGTTTAGCTTGCAAAAACTCAATATTACCAAAAAGCTTTCGTACTGAAATATTTGCAGCATTTTACACTTTGGTCTGAAACAACCAGACGTGTAAATCAATATGAGACCTAGTATAAATGTTATGGAAACATTTCAGTCAAAAAATGGGTCACAATGATGGTTACAATATTCTTCTATTTTTCTGCATTGGAAAATTACAGGGGCGCATAAAACGTGCGCAAATGCCCTGATAAGAAATAACCTGGTTTGATTCCCAGCTGCCCAGAACGTTTGCTGCATATTATTTCCCAACTCTCTTTCCCCAAATTGCTGTCTCTCTGTACAACCCTTTTATTTTTTTCTAAATTACTGAGCTTTGAGGAATGTCTGGAACTTTAAGTGATAATAATAGCAATAGAGTTGTGAAACAGTGCAAATTATTACAACATTATTTGGCCAGATGTTTGCATGCTTAAAAGGCTCCAAACCCCTATTTTACAGTACTGATTCTCAAACGTTATTATGCCTTTTTTTGTTATAGGTTTTGCTGACATGAGATGATACGCAATCCTAGAGGAAGGAAACAGACAGTCGTGCTACAGTCCGTCAGTCTCTGGTGGGTTTACAGCTCAATAACTAGTGTCAAGTCATCTATGAAGCAGGCAGTCAGCTGTTCAGTAACAAACTGTGGTTGTTCTCCACGGTATGAATCCCTTTAGAATGACTATGAAGCAGAACAGAAAAAACGTCCACTAAGTACATCAAATTGATACACATGATCTCATGGCTATGTCATGGCTCTGCTCTGAGATGATGTTAAAGCGGGGGTTCAGGCTCAGGAACATGCTCTACCTCCACAACACAGGGCAGCCTTGAACTCAGCACCGTCACCCTCTCTATCCTCAGCCATGAGTGTCACTGTAAGCTGATACTATGTGATCAACAGCACCGTGGCACCTAACATCCTGCTGCTTCACCACCTCAATAAAACCTAGCTGCACTTTTCAGTCCGAGTTGTGAAAATGGCGGAAGAGGGTTTCCAGCTCAGAACTCTAAACAGCGCAGAGGACACTGAGCTCCAGCCAGCTGACTTCACAACGTTATCACTAGCATCCCTCCATCTCAGGGACGAGGCTGTGGTCATCAACCATATGGGGGATAATCCTGAGCCTCATTCTGCACTTTCTGTGATGATGTCATCAACGCTTAACCAATCACAACAGCAGACAGACATATCCATGGCTACCGGGCCTGAGCCTTCACCAGCAGTTCAAGGTAAGATATGGTGCTGTACTCAGCATGTTTAGGTATCAACATTGAACATTTTTTGGTAAAAGTAATACATTGAAAATGTGAAGGTTAGAGATGAGTTGATAGAAGTTAGGGTGGTTTTGTAGTTTGGTTCGTCTTCGTGTGCCCTGCCTGTTAAATTAAAGACTAGTCCACTCAGACATTTGTGATATGTTCAGTGTTTATGATTGTCTAAAATCAACAGTGATTTATGCCAAGATTCCTACTTTTTTAATATTCTGAATCAATTATAGGCATCCAAAGACATTTCTTTTTCTACGAAAGAACCTACATATTGCTACTGATCATACTTCACATCAAGTTAGAATCGTTTGAAGCATTATAGTATAGACAATGCAATCATTTAACTGTGTTTATTATGTAAAATGTCATCTTTAAATCGGCATGTCACTTGAAATAAGAAGCACACTTTTTATTTATGTTACAGGCAGAATTTTTTGTTTTTGTATAACATAAACTTGTGAAATCACTGATCATTGTAAAATACTACAAAAATGTTATGGCTTCATTTAAAATAAATAAATGGCGAGATACAAGGCTGTGTTAATAGAATCTTAAGGAATAAGTCAACTACAACATCCAAGAATGATTGCGGTAAGAAGCCTCCAGGTGATTCCAGTTAAAACTTGGCAGAACTGCATTTATACAGTGAGCAGTTTTCATAATTGACTGTTATACATTTTGGTTTTGATTTGAATACCTTCAATCTATAACTAAATGAGGCAGTTCTTCTAGATTTCTCAATTTGACACAAGTCTGATTGGCCCCTTTTCTTGGCTGCAACAGTTTATTTATGCAATTTAAAATGAAGGACAGTGCAATATGAAACATTCTATAAATTTGGCAGTTAATCATCTTGCCTTTTTTTTTTACCTTCATATGTAATGAAAGCTACAAAAGGCACATGTTATACACAAAAAGGAACAGCAAAACTGCACATACATCAAAGCACATTTTACTATTTCCATTGGGAAGTTACTGAGCATCCACATTTCTCCGAAACAAAGTCAAATCATTCAAAGCCAACGGCTATAACATAACTCAATAGACTGAAATTATCCGGGGGAATTTGAAAAACTCCACCAGAAATGTTAGCAGCTGGGATCACATAGTTTCAAAGGCTTAGTGAGTTCAATAACTCACCAAGATTCAAGATGTATTACACGCAGAGCTTTTCTTAGGTCTTTATACCAAGGCAAGTTTTAACAGAGCCTCTGTTTGTAGGCCCTGGGTTAATGAGTTTACACCCCGTCTAATTTTACAACGGCATACGTATGATTCCACGAACATACAGCTCAGTCTGCAGCAGCTATTCAATGCATCTCTTGACATGCCATCACAAGTGCTGAAGGGATGAGTTACATTAACTACCAACAGCAAGCCACTCACTACATACATGTATCAGCTCATGTGTTGCATAGCCACATAGGAGTAAACACAAACAATTCACACATAAATGTAATGCTTTCAGGAAATGCCTGACAGACAGGTTCTCACCTTCCCCTGTGCTTTCATAATGCCCCATTAACACACACAGGGATAATAAACACTAACAAACACATCGTCAGCTCCATTCCTTCAGGCCCACATGGCATCTTTCTGCAGACAGCTGTTGTTTGTTAGGCGAGGCGAGGCGAGGCGAGGCGAGGCAAGGCAAGGTCGAGCACTAAGCAGCACTGAGCGTAGCAGAGTGTGCCCGAGTGTTGAGGAGTGCCCGCCCTGGTATTTTAGGCAGTCAGACAGTGTCACCTGTCAGCAGACTAGTCTGGACAGACTCTCCCACATGGTGCAAGACTAAGCAACACAACGACAACTCTCTCTGGAGTCCTTGTCAGTGGGCGAGCAGTGTGTGCTCAACTCCCCCTCGAGTGCAGACAGTCACACACAGACCGGCCTCAGCTGACATCAGGAGCAACACTGGGTGGCTTTTGTATGTTGCAGAGTTCTTGGAGCCTGAGATGGGCCAAAATGACAGCGAGCCTCAGTCTCGCACCCTGACAGCGTTCCTGCAGGACCTTTCCTCCCCTGATCAGGATGGTGTGTTGACTGACTGGAAAACCAACGCTGTAAAGGAAGGAGGTACTTTCCAATGTCTCTTTGTTGTGCTTGTCCGAAGTGTAACAGATCTTTTTTAGCATATTTTATATCTTTAGTTTGAAATATACAATGTATGTCTTAGCACATACAGTACTACTGTATTTTTCATATTCCTAGCTCCTTTATTGCCTTTCTTTAAATCACAACAAAAATGACATACAGTTGATTGATAAGAAGATGGTGATATGGATGAAAAAGGATAAGAAGATGGAGAGACTATTATTGATTATGATTGTAGTATTGGTTTTAACCATTCTTTGTCTTTTGACAAATTAAAGCCTGATCTGTCTCCAACAATCCAGACGATGCAATATATGCACTATTAATAATTCAAGAATGGCACTATTTCTGTAATTGTAATTAAAATGTGTATTTCCTTTGTGGTCAGAACCTCAACCCAAGAACAACATAACCAAAGCGATGGCCGCATGTGACTGCTGCTCTGATAACAGCCATCTGTCCGAGGCAGAGTGGTACTGGGGAAATACCTCAAGGTATTGAATATTTTCCTAAATGTGTTGATGATTTGATGCACCAACTGCTAATAAAACACAGAATAGGGTTGGGCAAAATGTTAGCAGCTGTGCACAAAGCAGCTGAACGCTGAGCAGCGACTCTCCCCTGCTCTGTGGGTATGGAACATTACATTTGTAAAATTAATTGACACAAATCCCGACTTTAATACAATACTTAAAGGATATTTTTTATGCAAATTGCTTAGTTTTTACACTATTTTATTCATATGAAACACATTTTGTTTGCAAGTCTCTCTAAAACTTTATTTGTTTTTGCGGTTGTCTAGAGAGGAAGTAAATGAGATGATGAGAAACACTCCTGACGGCACGTTCCTGGTCCGAGACGCTTCTAGTAAGGTTGAGGGGGAATACACTCTCACATTAAGGTAACTACTTTTAACTCCATGTTTTGTGTGCTTGTTAGAAGCATGGGCTCTGCATGTTTAATTAAGTGTTTAAGCAGCTGATAATGTAATAAGCCATTATGAGTACTCTGTATATTGTGGGAAGGCTGTGTTCCCTCCAAATCTAGTACATGTAGTCAGAGGTCAGGTATTATTCTCAGTTATTATAAGTCTAACTTTAGTTGTCTGGTTTCAAAGTCTACATTTAGTTTTGCTGGTTTCATAATGTAACTTTATACATTTCCTGGTTTCTGTCTAATTTTAGTTGAATCAGGACGGACTAGGTTTCAGATATAAAGCTTTGTTGATTAGACTTTGGCCAATGCTCCGGTGGTGAGCAACATAACACCCTTTGCCTTTCAGTTGTGCTTTTCCATTCATCTGTCTCGCGTTTGTCAGAGGGAACCAACACTCTCCAACTTTAATCAATGTTGGCTTTACTGTCTTTCTTACACCTTGCAATTGGCTCCTGCTTAATATTTATCAGGATTGAGAGATGACACAGTTGGTTGAATGGTAGAGATCTGTGCAGGAGAACAGTTTGGATTTCAAAAACAATGCATTTACATCAGTGGATAAGTCCAATAACAAACACCTCTCATATTTCCATTACTGAAATTCATCCTGATCCCACAAGAACGATGCTGACATACTGCCCATGTCTGAATTAGAGTACATTTGTCTTGCTCCAGCAACATTTGAGTAGAGTTCTGCAAGGTCTTTAAAATGTTGTATTTCACATTCAAAGATACCAGGAACACAAAATGTCCCTTTTAAGATCTAATGATGGTTTGGTTTGGGTGGTCAGTTGAATTATGCTTTACTAGGAAAACAGTGTGTGTTTATCAAATAGATGCAATACTAAAATAAAGATCTCAAAATGGATGAAATTGTTATTTTAAAATATGATGATGGTGATGGACTTAGCTAAGTCTAATATCAACAGTTGTCTCTTGAATGACTTAAGGAGGTGAAACATATATTTTTTACATTTCTTAAAGAATATTTATGTGTGAAACAGGTGGAAACTCTTCAACACAAAATAAATATCAATTAAGATCAGACTTGTAGAATATGCATAACCAAAATCACCTTTCTCACTTAGGGTAAGTGAGAAAAACAACAGCTTTGCTTTGACTTTACAGGAAAGGTGGCACCAACAGACTGATAAAGATCTACCATCATGGGGGGAAGTACGGCTTTTCTGAGCCACTGTCCTTTCACTCGGTGGTGGACCTGGTCCAGTATTACCAGAACAAGTCGCTGGCCCAGCACAACTCTAAACTAGACACACGGCTCCTCTATCCCATAACAAGATATCAGCAGGTGGGTTCATAAACCTTGAGCACTGAACGTGTGCCGGCTTATGTTACTTCTATATTAGTACTAAATATAAAAACATTATCCTTGTCAGTCATATTTATTGTTTTGGTGTTGCTGTTTTTTTTTATATCCTGTTGGCCTACATATAATCACAGCAGGGAAATAAACAAGGATAATGACTGATGAGTTCATTTCACTGTTAGTTTAAATTGTCAACATTATTTTATAAAATTGTAAATAAATATCACAGTGCCAAACATTCTGTAATGTTAGTTCAGACGCATTAAAGGAGCTTTATAAATTGATTTGGTAATATTTGGTTTTGACTTGCTTATCTGTAGCAGCAGGTTGTGATGGAGGTTGACATTGATGCAGTTGGAGAACAGCTGAGGATATTTCAGGGTCAATACAAAGAGAAGAGCAAAGAGTATGACTGTCTGTTTGAGACGTTTAACCAAACCTCACAGGTAATCATTGAGACCTGATTTTACTGAATTAATTTGTGGTTTTATTTGTTAAAATAAATATCGTTGGGATAAATGTTTTACCTCTGATTACTCTAACACAACAGAGACTTGTTGTAAGGCCTTGAATATCAAGTAAGATGTGTTGCCTTTCCTCCACAGGAGCTGCAGAGCAAGCAGACAGCCATAGAGGCTTTCAATGAAATCATACGGATCTTTGAAGAGGAGTGTGAAACGCAAGAACGCTACAGCAAAGAATACATCGACATGTTCCTCTCAGTAGACAGCAGGACAGAGTCAGACAAGTAAGCCCCAAAATACCAGCATTTGTTTTCCAATGTTGTCACTTTGTTCTGTTGATCTCATCCTATGTATTTAAAACAACGTCACAAGATCCAATCAAATGATGTCCCATGAACTGATAAAGCAATTGTTTCCCACAGTACCACTGTGTGAGTGAATGAGCTAGTAGATCATTTTAATTCAAAAATTAAAAATGTTATAGATACCATTGCTCCAACTAAGGTAAAGGAAGTGATTGGCAAGAAAATATCTCCATGGAGAAAGGCCATGACCGTGAGAACAGAAAAAAGAGAGTGTCGAAAAGCTGAACGTAGGTGGCGAAAAACTAATCTCCAGGTTCACTTTGAAATCTATAAAGAGAGACTTGGCCTTTATAATTTGGAATTGAAAAACGCACGACAGTCTTTCTTCTCTGACATCATTACCAAAAACAAAAACAACGCACGTGCCTTGTTTGCTACCGTCGACAGACTAACTAACCCCCCAGTGTCCGTAGCATCTGAATTTCTATCCACCAGGGCATGCAATGATTTTGTCTCCTTCTTCACTGACAAAATTCAGAAAATTAGACAAGCAGTCAGTGCCTCTGCATCAGGTACAGCAAATGTGTTGTCCCTGTATCCACCTAATATCAATTCAAACACCATGACACAATTCCATCAGATTAATGATAAAAACCTAGAGGACATTATTCAACTTCTGAAATCCTCCTCCTGCTGCCTTGATATTATTCCAACAGGATTTTTCAAAGATGTTTTTCATTGCATGGCCTCAGATCTACTTCATATAGTAAACACATCTCTTCACTCAGGTATTTTTCCACAGGCACTGAAAACTGCAGTCATTAAACCGCTCTTAAAAAAGAATAATCTAGATGCTTCAGTAATGAACAATTACAGGCCAATATCAAACCTGCCATTTCTAGGTAAAATCATTGAAAAAGTTGTATTTCAACAGTTGAGTAACTTCTTGCATTTAAATAACTGTTTGGATGTGTTCCAGTCAGGATTTTGTCCAAACCACAGCACTGAGACTGCTCTTGTAAAGGTCTTCAATGACATCCACCTGAACACAGACAGTGGCAGAACTTCAGTGTTAGTATTATTAGATCTCAGTGCTGCGTTTGATACTGTTGACCACAACATATTACTAGACCGACTAGAAAACTGGGTGGGACTTTCGGAAACAGTTCTAAATTGGTTTGAGTCCTACTTAAAGGACAGAAAAAACGTTGTTTCTATAGGTAAATACACATCTGAGTTGACAAATATGACATGTGGGGTACCTCAAGGCTCCATCTTGGGGCCTCTTCTCTTTAACATCTACATCAGGGCTATTCAATTGGCGGCCCGCGGGCCAAATCCGGCCCCGGGGTGATATTTACTGGCCCTTTGAGTATAATGTTAAAAAGTAATCAATTTTTTTTTTTTAAGATTTTTTTTTCTTTTTTTTTTTTGTGCCATAGTGCCTTTATTCCAGAGAGGGTGTTACATTGAGAGATAGAGGGGTAGACAATGCTTCGAAAACTTCGACGGGCTCGGGTTTCGAACCCACCTACTATACTGTAGTGACAACTCCTGTCATTGATTGCATCTCTGCGTGAATGATTAGATCATTTCACCTAAATGAAATCAAATGAAACATGTAGGCCTACTGAGTTCTGAACTTGCCATTTAGATCTATAAAGGCCTTGGGGCTATGTTGTTTGATTGAATTAAACACAATATATGCACTCCACTATGCTGTTGTAGTATTTACTGTATCTGAAGCTCTTAAATATGATTGCTCATATTTCAAGCCATCTTTTTCCCGGCCCCTTGCTTTGGATCATTTTCATCAACCGGCCCCCATTCCAAACTAATTGAATAGCCCTGATCTACATGCTACCACTGGCTCAGATAATGAAAAACAACAAAATAAGTTACCATAGCTATGCGGATGACACACAAATTTACGTAACAATTTCACCAGGAGATTATGCTCCAATTCAAACACTGAGTAAGTGCATTGAACAAATCAATGACTGGATGTGTCAGAACTTTCTCCAATTAAACAAAGACAAAACTGAGGTAATGGTTTTTGGAGCCAAGGCAGAACGTATAAAAGTTAGCGCTGAGCTTCAGTCTGCAATGTTCAAAACAACAGATAAAGCCAGAAATCTAGGTGTAGTCATGGACTCTGACCTGAGTTTCAACAGTCACATTAAAACAGTTACTAAATCAGCCTACTATCACCTAAAGAACATATCTAGGATTAAAAGACTAATGTCACAGCAGGATTTGGAAAAACTTGTCCATGCTTTTATCTTCAGTAGACTGGACTACTGTAATGGTGTCTTTACAGGTCTCACTAAAAAAATCTATTAGAAAGCTGCAGCTAATTCAGAACGCCGCTGCTCGAGTCCTCACTAACACTAAGAAAGTGGATCACATCACTCCTGTGCTGAAGTCCTTACACTGGCTTCCTGTGTGTCAAAGAATAGATTTCAAAATATTGTTGCTGGTTTATAAAGCTTTGAATGGTTTAGGCCCAAAATACATGTCTGACCTACTGCTAAATTATGAACCATCCAGATCTCTCAGGTCTTCAGGGACTGGTCAGCTTTCTGTCCCCAGAGTCAGAACTAAACATGGAGAAGCAGCATTCAGTTATTATGCTCCAAATATCTGGAACAAACTCCCAGAAACCTGCAGGTCCGCTGCAACTCTTACTACTTTTAAATCCAGGCTGAAGACTTTTCTTTTTGCCGCTGCTTTTAATTGAACTATTCATATCTTAAACTGCACTGTAACTTTTATCCATGTATTTTTTCTTTTAATGTTTATTTTATTATCTTTTATTTTTAATGACTGATTTTAAATGCCATTTTCTTAATGTCTTCCATTTTTGTAAAGCACTTTGAATTGCCTTGTGTTGAAAGGTGCTATATAAATAAACTTGCCTTGCCTTGCCTTGCCTACCACGTGCACCTCAATTACTAGGGGTTTGCAAATAACATGTTTTTTTACAGTGTTTTGTTTTTAACGATGTATCGTATGGGTATTAGTATAGACTACTGCCTTACTGGCATTATGATATCCCAGTCACTACTGACTCATTCAGCATGCTCACAGCCAACTAGCAGACCATGATGTGTTTACTGAAGTTCTTTGTTCTCTTTTGTTCTCTTCCCAGAATTCAAAGCAATTCAGATGAGCTACAGTCAAGGGTGGAGGAGATCCACAACAGCAAGAAGAAGTTGGAGGAGGAGCTGAGGAATAAAGCGCTGGCTCACATGGAGGTTGATAAGAAAATGAACTGTCTGAAGCCTGACCTCGTGCAGCTCAGGAAGATCAGAGATCAATACCTGCTGTAAGTCTAACCTCCATCACCTCATGTTCAAGATAGTCTGTTTTGGCAGAGTGGAGTAGAGGACAGTCTATGTATATGATATACTCTGGAAACGTATATTAATTGCTTTAATGCAAAGCTTTCTATCTTGTTAGAGAAGCCTTCTGTATCATCTTCTGGAATAATGTCATATAATGAAACAGGAATGATAGGGTACATCTCGCAGTACATATCCTTCTTTACCGTGTTGTGTCCATGTTTCAGCTGGCTTACCCAACAAGGCACAAGACAAAGCCAGATAGATGATTGGCTCGGTATCAGGAATGAAGAAGAGTGAGTATCCTTATTTATTCTGGTCAAATACTGTATAATTCCTAACGAAGATAACCCTCTAACCTCCAAACCACCCTTTAGCCCATACACTCTGGCAGATGATAGCGACCAGGACGAGAGGAGCTGGTACGTTGGCGGTATGAAACGTAAGGAGGCAGAGGAGCTGCTGAGGGGCAGGAGAGACGGGACCTTCCTCATCAGAGACAGCCAGACTCAAAAAGGGTCATTTGCCTGCTCTGTTGTGTGAGTAACACCCAATTTACATATTTTAAGCATTTCAAAATCACAACATTTTGTCCCTCTCTAAACATAATGCATCGAAGAAGCGAATGATTAAACTATCCTTTCCTGTGGTGGACCTAGCCATCTTAACTACCGTAAAATATCCATACAGTATATTATTATTATAACCCCCTTTCTTGTCTCATGCAGTTTGGATGGGGATGTGAAGCACTGTGTGATCTACAGGACATCCACTGGGTATGGCTTCGCTGAGCCCTACAACCTGTACCCATCCCTGAGAGAGTTGGTCCTCCACTATCGACACACATCGCTGATCCAACACAACCAGCAGCTGAATGTAACCCTGGCCTGGCCCGCTCTCAGCCAGCAGCCCAGCTGAGACACACCAGCATGCCACCCTGATGGCACTTTCCCAAAGCTTCACTGTATTTGCACAACAAACGCACCACCATGGACAATGTTACAAGGCTCTCACGGAGTACCGGTTAGTGACGTCACCATACAAGAATTTTCAGAACTATTTCATGCTCACAACTGAAAATCCTACACTGTTAAGATGTCACAGCAAAGAAAAAAGATTTTTGAACATCTTTTCCGTTATTTTGATGTTACTTGTTTATTTATTGTCAGCTTTGTTAAATACAATGGTTGCATATTGACAGCAGCTCGGTGTAATCCTATTTATTTTTTGAAAGCTGTTATTCCTAATGTAAAAAATCCCGTTTACTTACCATCTCGGGGAAAAAAACACAATTGGGATTAAGTTCTTAGCTGAATTCAACTATAAATGTAATCCTTTGAAGCAGTACTGAAATATTGCATCGTCATGAAAACACTAGAATTGGGGAAAGCGAGTTCCCAAACTGCTGGTATTAATCTTAACAGTGTAGAGGTTCATATAACTGTAATATCAGGGTCACACGATACTACAGTACAACTAGCTTTCAGAATACTGAACTGCTTCTTAGAAGTAGAACAAACACAACAGAAAGTCACAATGTGGCTTTCTGTCCTCCACAGTGCTCATCTTCAATCCATATTAATTAGTGCAGTTGCAGTGTTAAGGTCCTTCTGGGAAACTGAGATCAGGATGGGACTCTGCACTACTAAGCACATGAGCATTATGGGTAGTGTAGTGTAGAAACTGAGGAGACACACTTGCACTTTATCCTCAAGAAAACAACCTGAATACACATAAGCACACAGATGAGAGCTGTACATTTGTGAGACACTGTGTTCACATATTGAAGTTGCTGGTTGGGAAGTTTTTATTTCAGAGAATATACAGTACATTTTATTTTCTTACTGTCATCTTAATTCTGCACATTTCCACAATGTCTTCATTACAAGTGAGACAAAATAGGAATTCATAAATTCTACCTCTGGGGTTTATTCATGGTTTATTCGCCATAAACAATATTCCCTATGTGTGGAATATTGTTGTCATTATAGCAATCAAATTATTGGCAGATTTTATAGAAAAATGGGACAATCACGCAAAACGTTTGCATAATTTGTGTTGCTTTAAGATCTTTATCACGTTAAAGTGTTAATAATATATGAGCGGGTAATAACTGTGAAGGGGCAGGCATGAGGCCCAGGCAAATACTAAAAGCATTTCTGTGTGGTGTGTACATGTACATTTTTGAAAATCCTCCCAATATAACCAGAGTTACTTAGGTATATGGGAGATATGAGTCTTTATTTTCCAGGAGCATTGATAAGTCTCTGGGGTCTGATGTTGATTGCTTATATATTTTAGACTTGGGTTCTGGTTAAAAAGTGCCCTTAAGTGTTCCGGTTCCAGCCATCATCATTTCCTTTGTGTTAGTCTCAGGAGAGATGTCTTGTTAATCAGAACACTGTTCTGATTAACTCGACACTGAGGTTGTTGTAGCTGGATAAAAGGCTACAATAGCACAAATACCCTGAAGTGTCCTAAAGGAGATTATTATTACTATTGCAGTTTAATTTCTTTAACAGGATCATAATTAAATCATTATATTTAACAATTTGTTATGTTAGAGTCACACTTTGTATGTCCTGTATAGTACATTGTTTTACCAAGGTACTATACAGTATGCATTACTAATTATATTATGGACATTACGGCTGGGTACTGTTTTGATACCAATTGTGGTACCACCAGCTATGAAACATGTTTTGTTACCTTTATTTGATTGGTTAGCCACATTCTATGTTGCTTTGTCTCCATCTTTGGTGCTAAGCAATCATTTCTCTTGTTTTTCGTTAAATGCACCTCCACAATATCACCTGTCAGTCATACACTATTGGTAAAACTGTGAGGCTTTGGAATGGAAAAGCTTCCATGTTAGTCGTTGTGGTCCGTTGCGTTGGTGACCTAATGAATCTGCGTTATATTGTTGCACATAAGTGAAATGTCATTGCACAGATTGTGGACAGAGCGGGCCACAACCACTAGATGGTGGTACAGGCAGGACATTAAACCTGTGTGTAGCTACTTTAAAACAAAGAAGCACAATTTAAAATGTGGTCTGCTGTTTATGCTGTTTTGTAATACTTAGTGCTTATGAACAAAAGTACTACATTCTTGTGTAGAAATTAAGACTATGTAACAGTGGTGTAGTCTAAAAGAAAATACTATGACGTTAATGGGTATATGACTTGTATTACAGTAAACATGGAGAAATGCACCTAGATGACTATTATTAGGAAAGGCATGTAGGTTGCACGTCTGGCATGTGAAACCTAAATGTAATAATCTGTCACTTTCCATTTGTGATATCTGTTTTTATTTGTTTTCTTTTTGCACACTGAATAGATCAATTGTCAAATTAAGTCCATACCTTGAAATATGTACTTGTTTTATGACTGTGAATTCTAAGAAAAAAAACTATAGCTATCCTGGGAAAATTGTGTAGCAGGAATACAGACAAAAGGTACACATCAAAGACTACACCACTGCTCTGCGTGGTTTATTTTTAAAGCATAGTTTTTGCACACAAGTATCTCATGTGAGGTAGAGATACTATGACCTGTCTTTATGTACACCCACCCTGTTACAGAAGCAGGTGGTGGTGCTAAATATGGACACGTTGCTGTTGAGATTGATATGTCGTGGCACTGATAAAAGCACTAATACGAGTTATCAAAAGAGGTTATTTTTAATGAGGCGATACTAAAGCAGTATTTAGTTCTGTAAAATCATAATTGTATGTGCACAATATGGACTTTTTCTGTTGTCACTCGCTGTTTCTTTTTGTGACTTAACTGTTTTATCATTGTGCAAACAAAAAAAAAGAAATAGAGGGATAACTAAAAAACATTTCAAAATGATTAATGTTTCGTAGAAGAATTTGCCTTTGTGTTTGTGATTATGTTCAGCTGCAATCACGTTAGGTAGTGCTGTCCAAAATGTTCATAACCCACTATTACCTAATGCTTTAACAACCATTTCCATTATACCGTTGCTTTTGTATATTGATAGAATTATATACAGCATGAAAACAATTATGTTGTGCTGAAAGAAAAAAAAAAAACCTTAAAGGCAGATTCAAGTTTTACTTTTAAAGATAATTATCTTAATAGGTACCAAGGGACTAGCTATCTTGGTAAGCTATTAAGATAGCCTGCTGACCTTTCAACGATGCAAATGTTCATGAATAAATGAAAAGAAAGAAAAAAGTGATTGCCATTTAGGTTTAGACTAATGTCTTCTTTGTTTTACCGTTAACTGGCACATGCTGCATAAACAACCACTCAGTAGGGGGGTTTCAAATCAATGAGATATATTTTTCCTTAGCAAATGTTGCGCTAGTTACAACGGATTTGTGGCATGGAAGACTAAAAGAGCCTTACTGATGTAGTTCAAACAAGGCAGCCTTAGGGTTATGTAAAGTGTTGTGGTGTAATGAAATGGTGATTGTTTAAGTGGTAATAATGCTAGGTGGACTTAATTCCTAGAAGAGGAATGTATTTAGCACACAGTTCCTCTTCCCAAGGAATAGAGTTGATATAAGTCACGTTCCACAGTACGCCTACATAAGCCAATGATCAGCAACAAAGCAGGAAGCAGTTACCACTTAGATGGGGAAGGCAAGGGTGTAGGTACAGTATAAGAGACATTGTGGATTTGGTAAGTGTTTTAGTATTACATTGGAGACGGATTAAGTTTAGTAAGGATAGAAGTGGTATGTTAATTCAGGGTTTGGTGAGGTTAAGGGTTTGGTTAAGAGGAGGGATGTTATTACTGGTATTTGCATACAAACTGCTCAGCTTCATCAACTCTCTTCCATGCCATAAAGATAACGGAATCTAGCGGTAACATTTTTCAAAAATAAACCCTGTCATTGTCGGAGAAAGGCTTGTTTTCCATCTGACCCTGAGTTACAGTTTTTTGTTAAATGTTTAAGATTCAGGGGACTTGATGTATTTAAACAGGTTTGTGATTATGTTATTATTATGATCATATACCTCTACTTGTCTCTGCATCACAATCAACATAGTACTTGATGTTTCTTTAACGCAGACTTTAATTTTCCATTGTGGCCGTACAGTATGGACTTGTCTTTCTGCTTTAATCTTAAGCACTTAGTTGCCCTCTGTTGATATTGATGTGTGGAAATACTGCTATTGTAAATGTGTATTTACTGTTCTGAATATGCAATAACATTTAGCTTCTTTGAAATAGCTTGTGTTTCATTTAGGAGTCATATCTGAGGATAATTGATGGTTTCAATTCAAATATTTTTTGTTGGTTTAAAACCATAACTTTACCCAATTCAGAACATCATGTTAATGTATGCACCTTCAGATTCCCAAATAAATATGAGATGATGATTTATTGAATTGTTTTGAGTATTATTTTCATTCCTGAAGATTTCAAAAACGTTTCGAAAGTGGTTGTGTTTTATCAAAAACCACAGACCATGATTGATAAAAATATAAAACAATATAAATAAAAAAATACCATTTAATATTTACAAAAAGAAAACCTAGAACAAGACACTGAACACACACAAGTACCACACACTGTCTGTGTATTTACTGTACTATCCATTTCAAGGAGTTTTGAACTCAATGGGACTTACTTGGTTGAATAGAATGGTTCACACCTCATATTTACAGCATTCTATTCAACAACATATCATTAACATCTGTGATTTAAACATTTACAACATAAAAGTGGTTTTAATATTTTCCTGAGCACTTTAAACAGAAGCAGTTCCACTCAAAGCATTAAGAGCCACCAAAACCTGAGCACCAAACTTTAAAGTTTTGGCAATCTCTTACTTGCAAACATGAACACGAAGCCTCCATCACCAAACATAGAACACACAAAGTCAAGAGAATCAGTCTTACGTTTCGAAGAGCTTCTTTTAGAATTTTTCAATAGGAACTGTAATATTATAATATATATAATAAAGTACCGGAGAGCAGCCCATGATATGCATTTGCGTGCAAAGTAAAGTAGCCTACCTGAGGCTAGCATCAGGATAGCTTAGTGCATTTTTTGACGCTTTATAGTGATTTGTGTTTATGTTGTGACACTGAACCATACAAATATAAAGTCAAGTCTTCAGGTTGAGCTGTCATTTTCTCTTTTCACTCACCGCTAATATCTACACACCTGCTGGACACTGTGGAGGTGGTGGGAGACAGAAGTCCACAGGAGTCCTCACTGTGGAGGTGGTGGGAGACAGCTGTCCTCTGGATACTGTGGAGGTGGTGGGAGACAGGAGAATGGCAACCAAGCTGTCCTTCCTGCTGGACAATGTGTCCCCCTCCTCCAGGACACCCTGTCCTCACTGTGCAGCTCCTTCAGCGACAGGCTGCTGCACCCCTGATGTCTCAAGGAAAGATACCACAGGTCCTTCCTTCCTGCAGTGGTCAGACTATAACGCACGGCCCCTAGTAGACCCCCCCCCCCCCCCCACACACACACACACACACACACAACAACACAGACTAACACCCCTTGTTGTTAAATACCAACTATGTGCAATATGTGCAATATGTGCAATATATATATATATATATATACATGGGCGTAATTTCCACTGGGGACAGGGGGGACATGTCCCGCCCACTTTTCAAAATCCCATTTGTGTCCCCCCCACTTTTTTTTTTTTTTTTTTACGCAAGCGGTCATCGTCACTTAGGAGCGTCTGTGTGTGTGTGGCACAGGCGCATCTTGTGAGAGAGAGATAGAAAGAGAGAGAGACAGAGAGAGAGAGACATAGAGAGTTACGGGGTTGTTGTTAGCATTTGGTGCTAGCTCGGAGCTAATGGAGATTAGTAGCTGTTTCAACAATAAGGAGAGGGAGAGTCCTCTCCTGTCGGACTGAGAGAGATAACGTCAGCTCAGGGAGGTAAAGGACTCTCTGAGTGATTAGGTTGTAAACTTTAGTCTAGTTATCTCAGTGGGTCTCAAACGGTTTGGTCATCTATGTAAACAAATATTTCCATCTATGTAATATATAGTTGTATATAAAATAAGTTAAGAAATCCTTCCAATGTGTACTATAGGTCAGTACAAAAATAAAAAACACAGTTTGAAAGGGGAGTGATTAGTCAAATATACATAAATAAAAAAAAAAAATGCAGACTAGGTAAGATAAAGATAGGAGAGAGGAGTTTATCAATGATTTGTTATTGGTTGTGAGCATATTATAATGGCTTTTTGATTATTGAAATATATACAGTTCTGTTTCATATGAGTGTTGAGAACTGTATCCATAAATCTCTTAATGTTGCCCTCAAAGTGCACCAGATTGATGCATTCAACTTCAATTTAAAGAAACAAATCTTCCCGGGGTGCATGCCCCCGGACCCCCTAGAGGATGTCAGGTAATCACAAATAAAACAGGTTCACATGATACTAGATAAGTGTGTACACTCATTATATACACTACACATTTTTCTTGGATTTGTTAACACTATAGTCCCTAATATATTTGTAGAAAGGCAGGAAATGGAATTAAATTGAGAAAATATTTCATTGCGGAGGACCCCCTGTTTTGTGTCCCCCCCACTTCTCAAACCAAAGTTACACCCTTGTATATATATATATATATATGCCGTTTATAACTATGCAATATATACCTGGCTGCTAAATCCTCATAACTGACTGACTGATCTTAAACATTAACACATATAAATCCTGAGTTTAAAGACAGTGATATATTTTGAGTCCAGCACTTCTGCGTGTTAATGGTAGGGTAGGTAAGAATGGAGAAACTAGCTCGAGTGCGCTAGAATTTGAAAGTACGCAGCCGAAAATAATCTGCCCCTTCCTTCAGACTTCCTTACAGAGCCCCTCCTCCAATTCACACGAACGCGCACATGAGCAATAGAGTGGCGAAGTCACGCCCACTTACTTCCGGGTAATGGGACCTTATTTCGGAAAGATTATGCATTGAAGTTAATGGGGAGAGAAAACTTATCTTTCGATCCCGTTTGAATTGTGCCATGAATTACACATATGATGTTTGTCAATCTTAAAAAATCATTTCCATGTCAAAAAAGTCACAGTTTGTCGTAAAAATGTTGAAATATAAGACTATGAAAAATACGCAACTTGAAAGACTACAAATCCCAGAGTCGCGTAAGTGATGTCACAATTGAGACACTACGATATACGTATAATACAGTATATATACGATCAGCGCCATATAGATAGAATCTATCTATATGGCGCTGGCTAAGATAAGATAACTTTCACAAGATGCCTGTGTGCTTAGTACCAGGTTGTTATTATACCAGCAATGGGTCTTGCTCGTTCTTTCGCTTCCCGTCTGATGAAAGAGGAGTGTGTGGATCAAGCTAGCTAGTAGCTAGCACGTTAGTTAGCATTACAGCCTTGTCATTTGTATTAGCCTTAACATGAAGTAACATTAAGTAACCCAAAATGTTAAACAGTAAGAGTAGTAGTCATATTTCGTGAACCCTTTGAAGAGTACTGTCACCGGTGTGATCATTCTATAATACACCATTTAAGCCCGGGGGAGAAATGCTAACGCTAACGCTAGCGATCTTCTCTACTTCATGCTATCTGCACAAATGGTTGACATTAAACATTAAAACGACCAGGCAGTTCAGAGAGTATCAAAGGAAGGCAGGCAGGCAGCTTTGCATGACATTCTTCAGGACGTGTTTCATTGTGGTGATAGTGAGTAGTCAATCGTTGTGTTGACAAGACAGTAGTGACGGCCATCTTGGTGACGTGTGTTGCTGACCAGAGATGTAGTTCATTGAGCGTTTCACACAAACAAATGTGTTACTTCACAGTTTTACGACACATTTTTTTTTTTTGACTTGCAAAATTATCTTTTAAATTGACAAACATCATATGTGTAATTCGTGGCACAATTCAAACGGGATCGAAAGATAATCTTTCTCTCTCCATTGACTTCAATACATAATTTTTCCGAAATAAGGTCCCATGGAGGTCCACCGGAAGGGGAGGGACTTCGCCACTCTATAGAGTGGCGAAGTCCCTCCCCTTCCTCCCGTTTGAATTGTGCCACGAATTACACATATGATGTTTGTCAATTTAAAAGATAATTTTGCAAGTCAAAAAAAAAAAAATGTGTCGTAAAACTGTGAAGTAACACATTTGTTTGTGTGAAACGCTCAATGAACTACATCTCTGGTCTCACAGAACAACACACTAGAGATGGCAAATCCGGATCATTTTACGGACTCAGGGTCTTCTGAGTCAGTCATTGAAGAGATCCGGATCATACGAGTCATTTGAGTCATATGAGTCAGCATGACCAAGACTGTAGAAATCCTATTGGTGAAACCGAAAAGTTGTTGCATTTCACGAGCATATTATTATTCCATATATTTTGAATATACATATATATATTTGTATATATATATATATATATATAATATCTGCATGTATATTTTCTATTTCGACATGTATATTTTATATTTTATTTTATTTTTATTTCTATTCTTGCATATTTTGTAGTTTTGTTTTATTGTAAAATGCCTTATGCTGCTGTAACAACAACAATTTCCCAATTTGGGATCAATAAAGTACTATCTATCTATCTATTAAACTGACGTTATATTAACCTCCGCTACACAGTGTATTTTGCTTTAATAAAAAATGTTGATCACAAAAAAAAGGGTTATTTTGCGATTTGGCAAATCTGAGTCTGCGAGTCCGCACTGCTGTGTGTTGCACACACAGTGAGTCAGGATTTGCGAATCCGAGTCTGCTGTGCGGACTCGTGCATGACGACGAGTCTGCTGGATCTCTGGATCTGCTGCTATACGGTTACGGCTCCGAGTCCGCACGAGTCTGATCTGCTGTGTGTTGCAGCGAGTCAGGATTTGCGAATCTGCGAATCTGCGAATCTGCGAGTCTGCTGTTGGAGCCGTCGGCTCCTCTGAGTCCCCACGAGTCTGCAGGAAGTTTCACTGATCCGCGTCCCCTCCCCTGAGCCAAACGATCACTTCTGGCAGCTATCCTGTGACTGTATACTTGCTAAAGGGTAGGTAGATGGACTTGGGGTACGTTGTAATGTGATTTTACATGTTATAAAGAGAGTAGCGAGTGACGCAATTTATAGTTTTAATTTGTACGTCACACCAAGTGGTGGACTCAAGGACTCGGGTTAATGGAGAGGGGAGACTCGTCATGACCAGCTCATTTCTAGGATCCGGGTTAATGATCCGGATGAATCAGGACTCGCCCATCTCTATAACACACGTCACCAAGATGGCCGTCACTACTGTCTTGTCAACAAAACGATTGACTACCCTCACTATCACCACAATGAAACACGTCCTGAAGAAAGTCATGCAAAGCTGCCTGCCTTCCTTTG